AAATTTTTACCATGAGGGTGATGAAACACTGGAACGGATTGCCCAGAGAGGTGGTGGAGGCTCCATCCCTGGAAACATTCAAGGCCAGGTTGGACGGGCCTCTGAGAAGCCTGGTGGAGTTGAATATATCCCAGCTCACTGCAGGGGGGTTGGGCTAGATGACCTCTAAAGGTCCCTTCCAAACCAAAGCATTCTACGATTCCATGATTCTATGCTCTGTGCAATTCCCTACTACCTTGGTTGCTGAGATGTATTCGATTTTGGTGTCATTCCATCAGCTGTTCCAGGACAGAAATGAAGTCCCATTAATTTTTCAGCACCTTCCACAAGCCACTGTTCAATAAAGCAAATGCAGACTCTACGCACACTTCCAGAATAGTCCACGTGACCTAACGCTGCAAATGTGCACCTGTATCTGAAGTTCAACAATGTTTAAAAAACAAACATGTAGGCAGGAGTTTGAGGTCTTTTCAGAATTAACTTCTCAAAACCACAGGAGTATTATGCAGGGAACTGGGGTCCAGTCTTGCAACCAACTACCATTATTCCAAGAGCAATTTTCTCTACTTTGTTTACAGCTACAGGGATTTTCCTGTGTGGCTGTCTTGCACGTGGACTAATCCAATCACTCTGTCTGTAGCACAAATCCCATCTGGTGATGGCAGAGCAAGTGCCAAAGCCAGAACCACCCACACAGCCACCAAAAAGCAGTATGTTCAGATACTCTTTGAATGGCATTTGGGTAAATCCTTTACAAAAGCATCAGAATGTTCAATAGGCGTGACTTTGGGGGTAACAAATCAAAGCATTTATAGAAATAGGCTCCAAATGACTGCACCAGTTAGGAAAAAATGGTTTTACTTGACTGATGTTCTGTGTAGCAGAATAGTGGGACAAATTTTAAGCAACCAAGCACAAATTGCAATATAAAAAACAAAACAAAACCCTCACTGACAATCTCCCTCCTTAGGCTACTGCTTATTTTTGCTAAAGTCATCTAACTACTGAATACTTAATAGTGTTTCTTTATCTTCTTATATTAGCTAGAATTCTCCTAAGTATATAGAGAGGTCTTTAAAAGGTGTCTAGCCATGTGTAAATTAAACAAAACTTCTGAAGAAATTTAGTGTCTCAGTTTTAATCATCTGAAATAAAATTAATCAAAAGTGCTCAAATTTTAAAGCAAACTATTCTAGTCCCCTAAACAGAGGTTTGTAACCACCTTTTGGTGGGACAGAATGTTATGAAGTATTTCTTTGGATTTTCGGGTTTGGGGGATTTTTTAGTCAGAGAAAATGTTTTGAGAACTGGCAATTTAAACTTTAAATTCATCCTTTCAGTACTTCAAGGGGGCCTATCGGAAAGGTTGGGAAAATCTTTTTAGCAAGGCCTGTTGTGACAGGACAATGAGTAATGGTTTTAAACTAAGAGAGTGTAGATTTAGACTGTATGTAAGGAAGACATTTTTTATAATAAGGGTGGGTGAAACACTGGAACAGCTTGCCCAGAGAAGCAGTGGAGGCTCCATCCCCGGAAACATTCAAGGCCAGGTTGGATGGGCCTCTGAGCAACCTGGTGTAGTTGAAGATGTCCCTACTCACTGCAGAGGGGTTGGGCTAGATGACCTCTAAAGGTCCCTTCCAACCCAAAGCATTCTACAATTCTATGATTTTTTAGATGCCTGTCTTCAAACACTACGACATCACTCCTAGAGTGACCACTCCACTTCCAGAATAAATTACAAAATTGGTTTCTTTTTAGAAGATCTTTAAGCATATGCTTCAGACTGATTAGTCTTCTTAAACTACGACAATAACAGAAGCAGCATTTGGGTAGGAACACTCCACCCCAAGTTAAGGCAAGCAAAACAAGAATCAAAGCAATATAACATTTAACAATCACGAGCACAAAATTTATGAAGACTGCATCTCAGTTTTTCTCAAATTGAAAGAAAAAGCTCTGTTTGCAATAAATCAAGTAGACCAGACTCACATCTTTGCCACTGAGTACCAGATTCTATTCCACAGAATTTGTAGAACAGAATCATAATCCTCAGAGTGTTTCTCTCCCCGTTCAGTCAATATTTAAGACACGTCTGTTAAAGAACGATGGTTAATTCTTATGTCCAGGAACTAGATTCTCAAACACTTCCATTCTGACTTTCAGCTTACTGTAACCCACCAGGCCATCACAGATGGCTGAGGTATATACAGCGCATAACTGCATGCATGGCTACAAGAGAAAGATTTATATGCCACAAAGAAAAAGACAGGCTCTGGGTGTAATCTGTTACACTACTTATATGCTAATTATGCTACTCCTGATAGTATCTATACAAACGGGAGGAAATGAACACACAGTTCTTCCAAATTAAACGAATTTATACTGAAACACACTATTTTTAATGACTTCAATTTCCTAATATGCATTCTGGTGAATTGGCAAGCTCCCCATATATATTTCAGTATAAATTTCTTATAAAATAAAGGTTCCACGTCTTCCGCTTGTCCGGAACTAAGAATTAAAAATCACCCGCTACTAGGTGCCAGAAATGTGAGTATCCTGAGTAGCTTTAAAATTATTAAAGACACATTTTGTTCTTTCCATGGGGTAGGAATACAGCTGGGGCTGTTTCAATTTAAAACAAGCTCTGAATCTCAATGGCCATTCTTCCAAACTCCTGTTCTTCAAGCTAAAAATTTCTAAAAACCCTAGCTGGAAATAATGACAAGCTTGAGACCAATTTCCTCACAAAAACATAATGGAAATCTTGAGAGCCTCCTCATGCCGAACATTCATAAGCAGTTTTGTTTGATACCAACAGATCCTATCACATTTCATCCACGCAAATTTCTGGCAAACTTCTGCCACATGCTGATATTTAAAATTAAAAGCAGCATAACTGCTTTACTATACATTCAAACAAGCCATTAAAAACAACAAAAAAAAAAGTTCTTTTTCATATAAAGTTTCCAAAGAATGTATTTCATCCCTGCATAAGGCTGCTTCTCTAAAAAAAAAGATCCTTCACTGTTTTGGTTATATTTCCCAAATACTGTACAAACAAAAACATTAACTTGTATCATATGGTACAGTAAGACACCAATATAAAATTATCAGACTGGAGTGGAAAGGACATATTCAGGATGTCTAACAATAGTATAAAATATAAGAAAGTAATGCATAGATCTAGAAGCAGAAGGGGGAAATGAAAGGAAGAGAAAATAATGACATATTCACACAATTTTAGCATGGTTGTAGGGAAGCCTAATAACAGTTTATTAAATGTTATCAATACTTAGTTTCTGCCAGAGTCTTCTGCTTTTTCATTTTGTGAAGAAAAATAACAAAAAGCTGTCCAGACTGAGTAAACAAGGCCACACACAGGCACTCCTGCTTCCCACACAAATACTAGTCTTCAGGAAAAATACGAAGCCATCCAAGGTGATAAAAATCTAATCCCATAGGGGACCACTAATACAACTCCTCAGAAAATGAGGATTTTTATTACCTGTTCAAGACAGTCCTGTGGTTTGAAATCATTCCAGTAAAACAATTAAAACAACTGGCTCTACAAATACGACAGTTTTTTTAACTGAGACAATCTATTCTGCTTTTTATCTTTCAGTAACATAATGTCCATTTTGAGTACACCATTTAATACCATTGCCACTACCAAAAACCCTGATCGTGAACAGAATTTTGTCCTGAGTTCTTGTCAGGTGTAACATACACTTTACCAAGAAACACAAAATGAAAAGGAAAACTCACATCACAGTTATAGGTAGCAAGCACACAAGGTTCCTAGGAGAAACTTTTCAGCATGGAGTTGTATTTTAAATTAATAAATAGTAATAATTACTGACTGTAGTTAGGGGAGACAGTTGCTTTTGTCTCTTCGTATTCCTTTCGTGCCTGATAAAATGACTTTTTCAGGTTAACTAGGCTAGCAAATGCTTTCTGATACATTAATGTTAGCATGGAAGAAGCTGTGATTCTCCCAGAAAGAAGACGGGCATTTGATTTGTTTTTTCTTCAATTTATTAGTTACCAATCTGTCTGGGAAGTGGATAACACTACGACAATGTATGGAATATCTTCATCAACTGAACAGAAGACACCAAGAAGTCTGAAGATCTGATGCGGGTGCCTGCTCCTGCTCACCGATTAGCACAATCCCCGTCAGCAGCAGGGAACAGACCACATTTACCTTTTATACTCACAGCTCCAAAACAGAGAAAAATGAGAAATTTGCAAGCCAGTATCAAAAAAGTTTACCTTGCCTAAGTACAGAAATACTGGAAATGCTACCAGATGATGGAAGGAGAGAAGATGTTCTAGATATCCTAAGATCTTTCCTTTGCCCCTGCTTCTATGCAACAGGATGGCGAAACTGTTATTCAAAGTTGAGGTAGGTAAAAACAATGGGAAGGCACCAATTGGTCCTATAAAAGGACAGAGATTTCAGAAAATAATCCAGCAAAATACATCCAACATGCCAAATCCACACTAAACAAACAAAAAAAATTCCTTCTGCTCTGTCATCTTCAAACAAGAAATTTTTGAGCAATTTTCAAAGTCAAATGCTTGCACTAAAAGTGGTATACGAAATAGAAATACAATAGTAGGTAATAAAGCCTGGAGAATAAAAGAGCTTGGGCAGAAAGACAGAACATTCTCCACAAGGAATCATAATCCTTCTTCGCTAGGAAAGCAAACACAAGTAACTCTTTACTCATACCCACACTTTAAAAATAATTGTTTTCTGCAAATAGCTTTGCAGTTAAATACATGCTATACCACTTAAAATACATTTTCAAATTAGCTTCTCCAGTGTATCAGCCATATTTACTCATGTTTTACAAAACAAAGTAACATAAGTAAAATCAGTGTACCGGAATGGCAGAGTTCTTCCACAGCTCAGCACAGCAAATGCCTATTATGTTTACAGTATGTTTAAAAAAACCTAAACAACGAGTGCCACAGGCCTCTTGACTTACCATTGCAAGTTCCTCCTGTAATTCTCTGCAGGTCTTTTCATTTTTCCCGAGCCTCTCAGAGAGGTCTTTAATTACCTTCTTCTTTTCCTCGATCTTCTCATTCATTTGCTTTTTTGTGGAGAAACATTCTCTTTCTAATCTAGAAAGTTTCAGCATTAGAACACTTATATCATAAATACTTTTGTCAAGTACATTTTTAAAGATAATCAATAGATATGGCACATACCAAGTTAGCATGTCATATGGCTTCTGAAGTTGCTTTCGCTTTTTTTTTTTACTGTAGAAAGTTACATATTCCTTCAAAGAAGGGCTTGTCAAGAACTGGTTATGTCCTTTTTAGTTACCAATGCTTGTGTTCGGCTTACAGTCATAAATTCATTTGGTCATTTGGATATGGCCTCCAAATTACATATAATAAACAGGATTCATCATATTTTAATTAATACAGCTCTCTTCAGAAAGACCATGTCACAACTTCCATAACCAACCCTGATTTCAAGTACAAAGTTTTCTCCGAAAGTTTCCATATAACTGGTTATATTCTACTCAGAATTGCATGACTTCCAATTTTTCCACCAGCAGACTGTTCCCAAAATTTCAAACAGTTCTTGTACTATGTCAGTCCTCCTGGTACTCAGGAAAACAGACAGATAAAGAGCCTGGTGTGGCTAAACAGGCAACTCATGAGAAAGTTAAAAGGCCAAACAACAGCATACAGGAGACAAAAGCAGGAACAGGAATCCAAGGAAGAATTAAGAAAGACTGCCTAAGTATGTAGGCATGGTGTCAGGAAATCTAAAAGCTCACCTAGAATTTATGTTTGCAAAGGATGACAAAGACAACAAGAAGAGATTTTACCACTACATTAAGGTACGCAAGAAAACATGGACCTGCTTCTATACAGACGAGGGAATTTATCAGCAGTGGACCCAGAGAAGATCAATGAAACACATTTTTTGCCTCAGCCTTCCCTGACAAGTTTCCCAAGCCTCTATGATCAGTAAAACAGCTCAAAGAGGAGAAGAATTGCTAGCAGTAGGTGAGGACTGAGTCCAGGATTACTTCTAAGAACTCAACCCATAGAAACTGGAAGAGGCCAGCTCACCAATACTCAAAGGTTCTGACAAAGCTGGCCAATGTCACAGCAAGGCTGCTTTGAAACAGTCCTCTCTGAAAAGTCACAGAGACTGGGGCGGATCCCTGGCAAATTGAGAAGGGTAAATGTCATCTGTATATTCAGAAAAGGGCAAAAGAACAAGCCAAGGAACTATAGACCAGTTAGCTTTATTTCAGTCCCACAAATGTTATGAAGCAAGTCCTCTTGAACAAATTTCTGGGGTCATGAAAGAGAAAAAGGTGACCGGGAACAGTCAGTGAGGATTTACCACAGCTAAATGATGTCTGGCCAACTCAGTTATATTCTGTGATAAAATGACTAGATCTGTGAACAAAAGGAGAGCAAGCAGATTAAATGTAACTCAACTTTAGCAAGGCTTTTGGTCCTGTCTCACACATTATTTTTATAGCCATGGTAGGACTTAGTCTAGATATGTGAACTACAACATTGATAAAAACGGTTTGATGGTAAAGCTCAGATGGTAGTGGCTGGTAACAAGTGGAGTCCTGCAGGAGTCTGTATTGGGATCCGCTTAACATCTTTATCCATGACCAGGATTAGGCCAAGAGTGCAATCTCACCAAGTTTGCAGGTAACAGTGAACTGGGTGTGGGGGTAGGCCACGACACAACACAATTGATACACTCAAGAGAAAGCATCAAGGGCTGCCATATCCTAGAACCTAGACAGGGAGGAGGAACAGGCCAGCATGAACCTTCTGCGATTCAGCAATGACACGTGCAAAGATCTTAATTTAGGAAGTAAGAGCCCCCTGAAACAACATGGCTGGTAACTGGCTGGGGAGGAGCTATGCTCAAGAAGGACCTGCTAATCTTGGTAGATGGCAAGCTAGCCACAAATCAGCATCATGGCACACAAGTAGAGATAGCTAACAGCATCCTGGGCTGTATCAGTAGCAGCATAGTCAGAAGATCAAGGCAAGTGATTAATCACTTTTTATTTGGCACTCTTCCTTCAACACATCTAGGATAACGACCAGTTTTAAGCACATACCTCCCCCACAACACAGGAAAAACGTTGGAGTGCTCTCAGGGGAGGGTCACCAACATGGTCAGGGGCTAAAGTACACATAAGAATTCAGTGAACTTGGGATGTTCAGGCTGGAGAAGATATAACTTCAAGGTGTACAACAGGACCCCCCAATATCATAATCAAGGTTATCAAGCAGATGCAGTCAGTCACTTCACAGCAATGTATGACTAGAGGACAAGAGACAACAATCACAAACCGAATCCAAAGAGGTTCGGACAAGCAGAAACTTTTTCCACCATAATGACAGTCAAACAGTGGAACAGGTTACCATAGAGGTTGTGCCACCTCCAGTCTTCGAGGTTTTGAAGACCTAACTGGACGAAGCTCTGAGCAACCTGATCTCATAGCCGATCCTGGTTTGAGCAGAATGTTGGACTACAGATCTCCTGCAAATCCCTTCAGCCAGAACTATCCCACTTAGCAGTGGGAACATCCGCTTATCTCTCATTTCTTTGTCTCTTCTCCTATCATTTCTGTCTCACCAGAACTGAAAGAAATGCAAAGGGCACAAAGTTCTTCCAACACTGAAATCTGTAAATCAATATTGTTCCTTCCTGACTTTGACTTATTTCTTATAGATCAACGTATCTTTTTAGCTGAAAGCCTGTTTTATCAGTTCTCTAAATACCTATGTGCTTCTGCTTCAGCCTGGCTGATTTTTTTTTCTTTTACCTGTAGATGAGTACTACTTATTCTTAGAGAAAGAACTTGCCTGCTTCAGTCACTCAACGTAGCTTCGACTCCCACAGCTTTCAGAAACACAACAAAAGCAGTTCCAATTTATTCTGTCATGCTCTCACTTTTTTCAAGAAAAGTAAATTCACTATGAGACCCAAATTCCCTGTTGCTTCCAATTTACATAGTGCTACTGGGCTCAGAGCTAATTAACAAATCATGCAGCCCAGAAAAGCCCGTTTGCTCTGTTTTAGTTATTAGAACCATCTTTTTCTGAGAAAATTAATTCTCACAGCTTTCTATAACTTCCAACTTTGGTATCACTTACATCAAGTCTAGCTAAAAAGACATACAAGTGTTCTAGCACAACAAATGAAAGTCTCGAAGACTTTCCAAAGACTGAGGCTTGAAAACAAACTCATGGGACTCCTCTAGAAAAATGGAAAATGTTACAATGCCAAAACACGGCTTAAAAGAAAAAGCCAAGCTCCTGACATTGTCTGGAGTCCAAGGACCACAGCCTTCAAAGGTAAGCAGATCAAAGGCTCTTGTATTCTCTCTGAAGGGACTCAGTGAAAGCAATCACTGATATTCACCAATGTTACTGATACCTGTATGCATCAAAGAATAAAAAAGGCACAGGAAAGAGACGAGGCAGTATATGCCCAACTCACGTAATTACCTCAAGGGAACTGAGCATATTGATGTCCATCTGAGATCAAGCTTGACCTTCACTACCTATCTTTATACAGCTCTGGAAATTTAGGTGTCTGGACTAATAAAATTGTAAGGAAAAGTTGTTTCTGTTTCTTCAATCTCTATTAACAAAACCACCAACTGTTTAACTGTGTGAGCTTTCACGGAAAGGTTTGCATTCTTTGAAATCACAGAAGATAATCTGTTTTCAAAAAACTCAGTTGACAGAAGCTGCAAGGAGTAATGGCCTGAATCAGCAGATGATTGCAAGTAGTGAAAAGTAGTGTTTGGATATTAGACAAAGTTTATTCTGATATCCAATTAACATACCAAACAGATGTTTTAAGTAGGCACAAATTCTCTTTCGTACCAAAAAAAACCCCAAGATAAGGCAAATCTGCTTTCCTGGGAAAGAACTGTTCAACAGAATTATACAGTTCAGAAGAAAAGGGAAAGGCTGTTCAAGGTTCTTGTTGCATTTTAGTAACACAAGTACTTATTTCTCTGTAAGCATTAATATCGAAGTTCCTAATGCAACTGTTCCCATAACTGTAAGAACTATATTTCCTAGTCCTCGCCACAACAAATACATATACTCTGATATTTCCTACAGCAATCCCAGACAAAGAACTACAGTCCCTTAAAAACAACCATTTGGGGGGCTTTTTGAGGATAAGGTTTTTGTTTAAGAGTTCTTCCCATTTTTCCAAGATGTAATTTTCATGCAGCAGAACTACCCTAAACACAAAAACAATCACCTTGAAGAAATAGCTTCATACATCTAGATAAAAGATTCTCACAAGGAACAACACATTACTGAATGCAGCAGCATAATTCAATATTTAACCATTATCCTTACACTGGTCTGAATAATCTAATACAGAAAAGTAAGAATCTCTCAAAGACTTAGTTTGAAAATTACTACTTATAGATTTTCACAATTTGTAACTAACAGCACTAATTTAAAATTTAAAACACAGATCCTGTGGTAAAACTTGGAAAGTTCTAACAGTTTAGAAAAAAGCACATTTAAGCTACCATCAAAAATGCTTCTAATTAGCTTACATTCTATCTCTATTATCATTCTTTGATTCTCAGAACATATTCGTACTAATAATAGAATAATTGAGGCCTTAAACAATCATTGGACAGTATTATTCTATGTGCAGGCAGTATTCCACTTCAAGACTACTTCTTGAGATAAAGGCCTTTGCTCATCTGAGAAATACATATAATTCACAGAATTATACTCTGACAAACTCTGTTTAAAAATGTAGTTGAGGAAGTCATGTTTTTTCTGAACTTTCTGTGGGGCCAAAGGAACCTTCATGAGAGGATCTTGTACTGAAAACTATTACAGATCACAGATATCTAACATAAAACATCATATAGCAACATGAAAGTATGAATTTGCTAAAATAGAGAGGGGTACCTAAGAGAACAGTTGTGATGAAAGTTAAGAACAACTGAAGATAGAAAACAAAAGTACCAAAATGCCTAACATACTAGAAACCTTGAGAATCAAATTGTTTTACCAATATGTAACTCGCAGTGTAAAGCATTAACACTCCCTTCAGGACCTAGTACGTTTGCATGATGTGTGATTTACATTTTTAGTGCATGTGTAACACTTCAATAGGTTACTGTGTTTTTTAAATTTATTTATGCAGAATTCATGACTCCGCATTTATTTCGCAGCAAATGATAAAATCAGAACAGGCAATCTTCTGTAATTTTAACCCTTTATTTGTGACTACATCAAAGCTGAACATGACCCATGTGTTCAGACTCACATTCATTTTCTGAAGAGCTATAAAGATAAAAAACAGTGCAGTTCTGCACTTCAAAAGTTAAGTACTTTCAAAAGTCATAGATACAATTTCTACAAGTCTATTAACTCCTCAGATGGACTGACTGCACCTTAAATTTGACAGTATCTGTGGTTCATTAATCTCATTACCTTGAACTTCAGAAGCAAAAGCTACAGGTCAGATTCACTTGTTTTCTCTAAGAACGCAAGAGACATAATAAAAGATACCATGACAGACACGAGCTGTTTGTACAAACCGAGGGCTACTTTCTAAGCCTGGACAGAAACAACATGAGAAAAATTCCCAGAACTTCCAGAAGGAATGAGTAAATGGTATATGGAGACTCTTGGAGGGTAAACAGCTCCCTGACTGACTACAGAAAGCCATAGTGTGGTAGCCTTGTTGACAAGAAAGCTGATATTTTTCAAGACTGAAAACTACTCCAGCTTAACAGGCATTTCCAAAAAAACCTAAACAAGCCGTGTCTCTCACTTGAGGATGCTGAATTTGGCTGGTCTAACCTCAAACACAAAGACAGACCTGGGAACATTTGACCTTGAAAGGACTGAAGAAACAGTCCACAAACAAGCACTGGAAGACCAAGAAAACTTTTAAGTCTGATGGGAAGAGAAAGATTTTATCTGTAACATGAATGTTCCATGTTTTCTGGACTACTCGAATACAGAAATCTACGACGGGGGGGGGGGGGGGCGGAACACACACAAACCATATTCTCTGTAAGAATAAGTTACATACAAGAAACTCATATAGTGTGAAGTAGCTTGTGAAGTAAAACTACTGATCCAACAGCCATTCCTCCAAACAAGGCTGTTTTGAACAGAAGGGAGCTTTTACAAAAATGAAACAACAAAAACAGCAAATCCGTGGTACAGACCTTCCCGAGTTCAAGGAAAGGCAAAGAACTTGGTCTTACTTTAGTGCCATGTATGTTGCTGCCATAGGATTTACACTCAAAGCAAAAACAATCAGACAAGATGAGTTAACAGTTTAATTAACTGATGTCATTTCAGGACCATAAAGAATCTTGAAATACACTTCTTCAGTTTCCCAGCTGTGAAGACTGCAGTCTTCCTGAACCATCACATTAGATTAATATCATTATGTATTTCACACGTTTTCACAAATTTAATAATATAAAAATTGTTTCTTTTTCTTTAAGGAAAAAAGCTTTTAATTTTTTAATATGACTTTGGCTTACTTAAATGCACAATCTTACATTTAGACTTCTTTTTGCCTTATTTTAATGAAGAGCTCTAAGGTGTTTATAATACAGAACAGGTTTCAACTATTTTACTAAAAACATCTCTAACCGTGTATATAGAAAGACATTCTCAGGTCCACAAAATTCCTTACTTGTATGTAAATCAGTTACTTCTGTTCTCCACTGTTACTTGTGTAAACAAGTCAACATAAACATACATATATATACAGATCCATATAATCCTAGACAGAAAGAGACACCATCTCTGTCTTTTTCCAACCCATTCTACTGGATTGAGCCTCTTCCCACACCCCCACTGTGCACCACCCATTTTAAGTCTTCCCAAATCTTCTCTTTACCTAAACATCACCCACTACCATCCTTAATTTCACCTACTCCTCAGTTCTTTGTCTTCCAACACCACTCTTCTGACATTTTCTCACCCCAATATATACTTGATTCAGCCAGGGAAGAAGATTCAGTACTGTGCATCCTGTATCTTCCTGGGGAATATAACAAGGATGCTCTTCCAAAAACTGTCGACCACAGACACAGCAGATTGTGCTAAGCACGAAAGAAATCTCAGGTAATTTTGTCTGCTCTCATACACTTCACCGCTTTTTCTATTTTTCGTTACCAAGTTAAAACTTTCCACAATTATTCAAAAGCTGAAAGCAAAGATTATCCGCTATAAATTATACACAGCTTACAGATAGAAGTCCTAAATATTCATCTAGCTTCCTGAAGTGAAAAACAATGTTTTCATAACAATGTAAGTGCATACAGAAAAAAAAAAAAAATCTGTTATAAACCTGACACGTTTTCCCACACTCCTCCCAAATACTACAGGACCCTATCATAACTATTACTTTCAACATTCTTGTTTTGGCAAATAACCTATAACAGATCAGTTATTTTCTCTACTGACCCATAATATGTACGGTTACTGATACGGACCTGTTATTAATGGAATGCCAGGTTCTGAACCTTGGCTTGGTTTCGTAAACAGCATCAGACTGTGTTGCTTTCTAGTGACTGAAAACTACAGAGAATGTAAACTCTAAGTGGTACTCAAGCTGTCTACTGCTATTTTACAATGAATTTAAAAGGTAACTTACACATTGAGTTTTTCCAAGTTCTCTCGGGCATTATGTTTTTCTCTCTCATATGCACTTTCTACCTCTTTGAACTCTTTCTTGATCATTTCTAAATCCGAAAGAGCTTGCACTTGGCTGGCTTTTTCCACCTGCAAAGCTCCTTCAAGGTCTCGAATTCTTAACTACCAAATGATAAGAAAGCAATTGAAGCAAGTTAGGAAAAACTATCATGATTTTTAAAGCTGTTCTACATTCTGTTCTGCTTCACAGATAACTACATTCTATTAATTACCTGTGGAAATATATACACCGAAAGCATGGAACACATGTAAAAATGTATGAATACTTACTGTTCAAAACATAGAAAATACATATGCTGACCAAAAGTGCCTGTTGTTCTCCTTTGGCAGCGTCTGGATATTTCCTTTTTCAGTTATTACTGAAGTTTTCCAGGGGAATTCTACTTCTTTAGCAGACTCGTGAAAGTGTGGGATTAGCAATGAAGGCTACAATCCCACTTAGCAAAAAGCACACTTCAAGCTTGTTCATGTATATGAACAAAGAAGAAAACCTTACCAGTCATCCACTCATAAAAGATAATCTCTAACTTTAAGCAATGTTACCCTCTCAGTTCCTTTGTATGTTGTAAAGTAGAGAGAGGAAAATAAGAAAATGAAATTCTTGCCTTTCTACTAGTTTAATCATCACTTTAAAAAATTTAAGTGCCTGTACATAGAGAAGATCATGAGAATAAGAAAATAACTGATTGAAGAACGGCAGTGTTTATTTTCATTACTCAGAAAAGAAACAAAAAGATACTATTTTTTTTTATTTTTTCAAAAGTCCAGGGTGAAAGGCTTCTCAGTTGGTATGAGATTACTAAGCAATTGTCATTTAGCTTTTTCTCGCGTGCTTTTTAAAATATACCACCATTGCCTTACTGAAGCAAATCCCATGAGATACAGTTTAACAACAGAAAGATTTAATATTCAAGTATATATACCACATTCATATAATCAATCTTCACTGTAACTGCAGATATAGTAACTTTGCTTGAAGCTGAAATGTACTCTGAATAATTACATTTGGAACTGCAGTTTCAGGATGCATCAAAATGTTACTCGTAGAGAAGTTGGATGTTTGCACTGTATCTCCAAATAGTTGTAAGTGCCCATTCAAAAGATACAAGGCAGGATATTTACACAGTAGTATACTGTTTAGCTATTATGAAAGATTTCCTTTCTCCTCACTGTTTAATGCTAGTGGGAATTCTCAAACTTACAAATGTAACATTTAGTCTAATAACTTTACTGTGCCCTGAAAAGCAGGTACTTTTTAATTCTCTCCCTTTATATATTAGCTATTACAATTTTGACACTTGTTGCAAAAATACTATTCGTTGTTTTCACTGAAGCAAGTAAATGATCTTAATGTTCTTGGAAGATTGCATCTTTACAACTTCATCAACTCTTTTACTGTAAACTTCTACAAAATACTTAACAAAAACTTTACCTGGATGGTGTCTGAATTGAGTTTGGATTCCAAATGTGCTGCTCTCTCTGCTTCAATGTTTTCTTCCAGTTTCCTTATTCTCACTGCAGCTGCCTAAAAGTACATTTTGAAGAAACTGAAGTCCAGAGAGACGGTAAACATGATACGAAGACTACCCATCCAGTCTATTAGGACTCCATACAATGAACCCAATGTATCTGAACTACTTGCACTTTGGAACTGTAAGAATTCATACCAAAAAATAAATATAAAAATAATTTTTACATATCTGGGATTGTTTCTAGTATTTTATATTAATGTGATAATATTTATAAATTATTTTCTACTTAAAGAAACTGATGTAGCATTATGCTACTGCTGCATTTTTTACAATCAAGAAAACTGCAGCTGGAGTCAGAAAGCAGAAAGACCAAGTTAAATACTCTACCTATTCCCCTACTATGTGCTTTTTCACCAAGGTTGTCACCTGAGGCAACATAACCACAACCTGTATGTTCCAATATACAATCCACTATCAAAAAAAAATTCCCTACAACAAAAATCTGTAAACTTGGTAATGTTTTAAAGCACTAACCTATTATTTTTTTACTGCTGTGCTCCTTGACCTGTAACTATTCCGTTATGTTTTTGTCTAGCAATTATCAGGATGTTCATCTCTAACAAATATCCTGACTACTTCAGTCAGTTACTACATCTTATTACACTGAATACCTGTACAGGCATGCACAGTTTAAGCAAAATGGGATTCTCTAAGTTAAACAGTTGCATCTTTCTCATTCATTCTTATAACATCTAGAAAAGCACAAAGATGCCAATGACTATGCTACAAATCTACTTGGAAATTTGGACTGCCTACAAAAAGTTCAAGAAGTAGTCTACATTTTTACTAAACTTTTTTCAAAGTGATCCAAGCCGAAAAAAATTCTTTCAAGTCACAATAAACACAAGAGCAATCACCAGATACATATGTCCAGATAAAGGCCTGGACACAGAATTTCATCCGGAAAAACACTTTTACCAAAAGCAATAACTAAAGATCTGATATAATGGAAATTCACATGCAATTTTAACTACACCATTTTCTATCAATAAAATCCTTTCACTTTGACTGCTAACTGAATTGAAAAGAAAAAGTCATCCCAGAATGTCTCTTGGTTTCCTGTTAGATCAGTGATGTCAAGAACAAGTAATTAATATTAATAAGTCATTTAACAAAAGCATATTTAAGGTTACATAAATACAATCAAAGTTAGTCATTTTGGAAAAGTAAAACAAAATAGCAAGTATGTCAGACTGCATCTTGATTCTGAAAATTTAAGAGATGTTAGAATAAAAACTCTTGGCAATAAATTTAAACTTTGTATAATCACACACACACAATAAAACTTTTGAAGTCCATGGAAAGCCAACTAAACAGAAAAGCAGCAACAGCACAGAGCTTACAAACCTACTCCAAAGTACGGTCTGTCAAAAGGATTAAACTCTGCCTTTTCCCAGGAGATTTATCTGCTTAACATACTTGATAAAAAAAAAATTCACAAATCCTGCACAAACACTCCCATTGTACTGCCACATTGCTAAGACTATTCTCAAAAATAGCTTGATTTAGGCTCCTAACAGTATTATTCCTTCCTAACACTAGCTCCTACTCCCCTTTGCCCTTAATGGAGAATTAGCAAACTACCTCCTGCTTCAGTTTGGAAGGACTCCTTAGCATACTCCAACAAGTCAACATTTTTCAACAGGATGGTTTTACACAAGAATATTGCCAGCCTAGTAAAAGTAGTCAGTGAACAGTAAATATAAGTGATGCGGATTTAATTTCTTGTTTAATAACATTTAAAGTCAGCCTGAAAATAATTCTATTTTAAGTTTGACGAGAAGAATAATGGAAACAGTGAGGAAGGTACCTATCACAACATTTAGAGTGGGAAACCTATTTCTTAAAAAAATAAAATGAAGACATAGAAACTTCACTGAGAATATTTCACTGCATACCCTCAAAATCAAAAACGCTTTCCTGTCCTTGGATGGTTTGTTCAAGTGTCTATTCTCTTAGCAAACAATTAAATGGAAAAAGAAAAAAAAAGTGATTCTGCAAGTAAAGTTTTTAGGTGCAACTTAATTCACAAGCTCTGTACTGCATTTGACTTCTAAGTCTTATTTTATTCCCTGAGCACCAGTCCAAAGCAGAACTATGCCTTCATCTCAGCCTCTCTTCAGCTGAAACAAGAAATGCAGGACACTATCAACTTGGTTAACTTACCCTCTCAAATGGAGCCCCCTAAAGCTGTTAGATTTCATCAGTTCCAAGAAGAAAAATAAAACCAGAAAAAATAAACAACAGCTTGAGTGAGGGCATCTGCAAGAAAGAAAAACTGCAGCAATCACATTCTCCCAAACACAGCATGCAGGTATCAGTTCTATGTACAGTTCTTTAAAAGTAGACTCTGTCTCCTTGAGCCAACATGATGGACGCTACCTGCAAGGACAACAGACATGGTCCAAACGAAACATGAATTCCCAGAAATATAGAAACTTCAGTCCTAAGAAAATCCTGGGACAGTGAGGGAAGAGAGGCAGGAGCAAACAGACACTTGTAAGAAGTGCCAATGTATCAGTCTTTCGCTGTCTGAAGTAAGAGTAATTCCATTTAAAAACAGACATATTTGCAGATGGTTCATTTGCTCGAGTTGTCACAAGTCACTGAAGAATTAACTTGTAGAATTAGCATGTCTGTAAAAAGCAAAGCACTGGGAAAACAAGCATTTCAGCTACAGACTCCTGGTGATCTCTGGAATGTGAGAAAAAGGCTCCTAATTGCAAGTAAGACAGTGTGTCTAAGCTACTGTAAAGGAGGTATGAATCTTAGGCACCAATCAAAGAAGAGCTAGACGTACATGACAGGTATCCAATGGAAAGTAGTCAAAGGATTCATGGCAGTACACAAACTAAATTAGAAACTATTGACAGGTAAGTATCATCTTACAGATCACATCCCCATACAATGGCATGAGAAAATTGACTTGTTCAAAACTGGGGTTTCTATACAAGGTCAAGAATCTCAACCGCTTATTCCTGCTTTTAAAGCTCACCTTCTTCCACAATTTAAATTCTTTGAAGCTTGCCTCATAGCAGTAGTTTGTTACAGTTTTGATTATTAAAACCTTGTTTAAATTAGTTCACAGGACTTTCAGAAAACAAAGACCTAGGAAGAGATAAAATGTTATTTTCATTCAAGGCAAGTCACCCTCAGGGATCTGACAGGACATGTCACTAATTTCTTGTATTGCTAGAAGCCAAAGATGAAGAGTGAACTACGTTCTCCTCAACAGTCTCAGAAGATTACTCAGGTAAACTTTAATCTTGGTTTATCAGCATAAGCAGCGCTCTTACCCAGAAGAGATTCAGATGCTTAAAACAGCTTGCAGAAGAAATACATCTGTAAACTGACAAAGTCAGGTAGATACTGTCTGTGTCTGGTGGAGCAATGAATATTCTTTTTCCTGGCTTCTATGATTATGGTTCACCATTCATCTCACAAATTTAAACTAAGTCAGATGCCAGCAAATCAGTGGGAAATTAGTGAGAAAACGAAAAATTCGTGAGAGAAATCTAACTAGCCATTAGCACATAAACCTTGCTAAGTAATACAGAGTTATTATATATAAAGAAATTCAGATTTCCTTAGACTGGCCTAAGGAAAAGAATCTTGGAACCACCATTTATCTAAGTGAACGTAAGCCACACAAGTTGCACCTGGATTCCAAGCTGAGTCTGAAGTTCCATTTGGGAAGAACACAGCTGCAAAAAAAACACTATACAGAAAATCTTATCTATTTTGTTAGTAAAGGTTCAAACAGGCTCTTCTGATACTTCTACACACTTCTCTTAACCGCGAAAGGCTGCATGCTCTACCAGTGAGAATGATCCATTACGCACTCTGTGAGGGTAAGAAAGAAATGTCAGGGATGAGTCTAACCTCTAACACCACACCAACAATTCCAGCAACAGAAAGTATGAGGAGAAGAGTTCTGTGTTCCTGTCTGACAAACAGAAGGACACTGGTACCAGAATCCTGATAGCCAGGCAAATCTCTTCAAATCAGAGGAAAGGTGAGAATCAGTATCCTTATTGAACCATACGTGTCAGAAAACTTTACACAATGCCTGTCTAGAAAGAAGCAGCTGTGTGAAAACAAGTTATAGAGAAAGGCTGCAGCCCACAGACATCCAGAGCAGTCTCTCAACCAGGCGTCAAATGGGAATACTTTCTGGTTTAGCTTGGAACGCTTGTTGTCAGGTCCAAGTAAGAGAGTTCGATCTCAATGGTGGATCCAAAAAGTGGACTCTCCAGCGGTTACAAATGATCTCTTATTCAACATTGAAAAACATCGGTTATTCATCAAGATTCAGTCACTCATTACTGCCATGTGCACCTAACAGGATATATGAAGGCAAACATCTTAAGAGACCACACACAAACTCATGGAAGGTCCAAAGGTTCCTTGGATATTCAAGTCGAGTCAATTTCAGTCTTAAAGAACAAAGATATCTGGGATTTGTTTCCATGATAGCTCAGACAGAATTGTGACTTTTAAGAAACGGTAAATAAAAATGACTAAGAAAACTTCAATGTCAGCCTTAGAACGTGTGGGCAACAGTGCTATATGTTTAGGCTAATCTGTTAAGGTTTCCAGTGTCCTGCTGCATGTCAGTCTAATGTGGTTTCCAGGAGACATTTTCTGCATGCTAACCATTGTCCAAAGTGGTCTTCGTGGCTTCCACTTTTCTCAGCTCCTCACAATTGCTGCAATATTTGTGAATGCTGGGGCACTCTGTACTGAAAGAGTAATTCAGTATCCTACCTTTCTGCAATACAACCGTCACAAAAATGTAACCATTTGACATTCCTATTTACATCAAATACCCTTTATCAGATAAGCAACAAAGAAAACACTAGGAAAAAAAGTACATGCACAACAGTTATTAAGTTTAGACAGAGTAACACTCTGCTTCTATTTAGATCACTTCTGCAATATTTTTCAGTTTAATTTTCCTAACAAGTTGTCAGGACACTTCTACTTCCCCACG